TAATGCTATAAAATTACAAATTACAAATTAATTGTTACAAATGATCGAACGAAATGCAATTTCTTTCGCGCGCGACATTGCAAGTTGAAACTAGATTCCCGAGACGATTCGTGAAAACTCGACTATTTTCGACTCTCATGACATAGAAGTAGGACACTATACATAGTCGTAGATCAACATCTAAACAACATTTTACATAATATATATTTATCTACATATATTTATTTATATAATCTATATATTTATTTACATAAAAAAATTATATACAATTAAATTGCGTACAGAATTTATTATTAACTTTTTTAAATGTTGAAATTTAATGAATAATGTAATATGATTATAATAATGTAAATGATTTTTGCGAAACATGATTTATGTAGAACATACTAGGAACAAGCATCTAAAAGCTTTCCTCGTATTGCCGGTACTTTACAAAAGTTTGTAAAGTAATCAGAAACATGGAAAGAGACTGCTGCATCACCCACACGCACCCACACATTTCTATGAGTTTTAAACTCCACCTCTACAACTTTGCTACCCTTTCTATTATACGAACAACAACGAAAACGCATCTTTAAACTAAAGTTTTTGAGATTATATTTGACGTTCGTACGAATTATGTAAATTATACAGTTGAAATATATTTTCAATCTAATTTGTATTTTAATTTACGTAAAAATAGTATCTTCTAATATGAAAAAAATCGTATTAAACATAACTGTGCTTTTTAAAAATAATAATTTTTGCAATTTTTAAAATTTGTTAAGTTAGTGTCAAAAAATTGTTAACATTAATTAAGTAAATTATACGAAGTTAAAATCGAAGCAGCAAGTCACCAAACTTCATTCGAGAGTTCGTTATGTAAGTTATGTGCTTTCGTACAGCAGCGGATAACCAAACTCACGTAACGACTCTTAACGCGATGGTCTCTGTATACCGAATGTAAAGTTCTTGCCTTGAGAAATAAATATTCTGAAATATTTGCAATTTGTTGCATGAAATGTAGTAAGATACATAATAAATTTAAATTCACAAGTTCGTTAAAATTTTCAGTTTCTTTTTTCAAGCAATTATACTAATCTGTCAATAAATATTCAATAAGTATTTAGATATAACAATCTTTCGCAAAATATAAATAATAATATCGATACATATGTATAGCATATGGAAATACTTAATAAAGATCATTTATGTAATGTCATATGTTATGTATGTATGTTAGATGGATATCTTTAATCATATCATATTTATTTTGTCATACCATTCTAAATGATTGCTGAAATCAGTTCACTCAGAAATCGTTATTTTCTATTTAACAATAAGGTAAGTAATTAATTAAAACTAAATAATACTTTCACTTATTTATATATCTTTCAATATAAAAATATTATACTATGATTGAAATATTGAAATTTGAACCAAACTTCTATATAATCTTTAGATATATGTAATTTTGTATATAAAAATTTTACATATTTATAAGTGAATTCAAATACTCTATACTGTATATAAATATGTATATATATTTAAATATATAATATATAATAACAAGTTACATTATTATAATTCAAAGATTATTACATTATTATTCTTAAAAAAAAAAATTCTTCAAAAAATTTTAGTGTTTCTTTTTTTTCACTATTAAAATTATACCATTAAATGAAATTGATCATATATAGTAAAATGGACTATTAACTATTTTGAATGTGTATGGGTGGAATCAATCATTACATAAGAAAAATATTAAAAATAAAAAAATACAATTTTCATTATTCCTAAATTTATTTTTAATAGCTTAAATATAAAGCGTAAATTTTTATAAATAATTTAAAAATCGACTATATCTAAATATTTTTTTCCTTTTGTAAATAAAAGTATTTTTTGAAAATTAATCGCAAAACGGATATTGTGGCGCCATCTAGCGGTGAACGAGTGAAATTGATCGTCACGTAATAAAATAAAAAATTATAAATTTTTTAGCTTTTTAAGATACAATTTTTTTATTTTTAAGATCGAACTCTTAAAAACAGTTTAAGACAATATTCTGTCTCGTTTGAAAATTATAAATATCTTCCGAAACTCGTGCAAAACACGGATACAGAAACGCTATCGCCATCTAGTGGTGAATAGATGAAACTAATTGTTACATAAAAGCAATAAGAAAAATAGGAAAATAAAATTTGTATGATTTTCATATACAAAATTTCTTAACTTTTAAGAATTCAAATTAAAACGTAAATTTTTAAACATAATTGAAACGAATTATATCTAAATTTTATTTCGTTTAAAAATTAAAAATACATTTCAAAAATTATTCATCAAACGGATATTGTGGCGCCATCTAGTGACAAGTTGGTGAAATTAGTTGTCGCATTATAAAATATTTACATATAATTTATCTAAATTTAATTCTAAGAATTTACTCTTTAATTTGAGCTCTTAGAAAAAATTAAAAAATTTTATGTATTAAAGCTATAAAAATTTTATTTTCTTATTCTTATTTTTTTTATGGACAATTAGTTCTACCTTGGCCACTAGATGGCTATAGTGCTTCTATGTCCGTGTTTTGTATTATTTTCTAAAAATATTTGTAATTTTCAATCGAGCAAGAATATTGGATAATGGTTAGTTTTAAATTATTTCTGATGTCCCGAACTTTAATTTGTGTTTTTAAAATTAAAAAAATTGTGTTTAGAAAAGAAATTTGTAATTTTTTATTTTATTACTTAACGATTAATTTCATTTTCTCGCCAATAGATGACATCACAATGTTCAATTTGTGATTAATTTTAAAAAAATTCTTTTAATTTATAAATGGAGGAAAATATTGACAATTACTTTTAAATTATTTGTAAAAATCTACACCTTAGTTTATTAAAAAGCATTAAAAAACAAAATTCAGAAATCAAGAAATTTTATTTTTTTCATTACTTTATACATAATTTTTTTTAACAAAAATTGTAAAATTTTATTATTTATTTGCGATTTTATTTTATATTTTCTTATAGATTTTAAAATTATTCATTAAAATATTCTAGAATTTTTCTACAATTCTGATTCTTTTTTCAATGTTTTCATTTATTTTAAAAATTAAAATTCAATATCTTTATTTTATTAAGTATTAAACAAATATTTTTTGAATATTTTAATTTGTGCATAATAATTTTAAAATGTTAATTATATTTTAAAATTGAACATATTTATATCATAATTCAATTTTGACAAGAATATTTCAATTATTCAAATTCAATTATCTAAAACTACAACCAATTTTATTGGGATAAATATATATTTATATAATATGGGTTTTATAAAATTATTCTATGTAATAAAAATATTTGAAATATTTTTGAAATTAATATTTTAGACATTATATATTTTATTTTTAATAATAAATTCTTTAAAAAATCAATAACAATAAATTAACATTTATCAACAATTATTATATATTATCATACAATTATAATAATTGTAACAATTATTACATATTATTATATATAATCAACAATAATAAAATTTTAGAAATTAGAAAAGTATAAAAAATGAGATCACTTACAAATAGAATGTTAGATTTATATTTTGTTTCTTGATTTATAATTTATGATTTAAATTTTTCATTTTCTTAAACAAAGATATAACAATATATTAAAGAATCATTCACTATATCATTATAAAAATTCAAAAATCATCATTGTAATAATCTGCAACAATTTTTTCATTAGTTTAATATATATTAAATACTATTATTATTCAATATGCATCATGTTAATGATATTAAAAAAAGATTTAATGTAAAAATTGAATCAATTGGATTTCATTCAAAATAATCTGCAATAAGAATATATTATAAAAATAATTTTTATTAAAATTTTTTGATTAAAACTCTTTTTTTTAATATTTTATTTACATTATTATTAATCATATTGTTTCAATGGCATTATATCAAATATTTTTCGCCTTTTGATTTGTTTAAGATTTTTAATTTAATATAAAAAGAAAAAGATAGAAATAATTCTATAATAATTCTATTATTATTCTATGTTATATTGTTTTTATATTGGGATAAAAATTAATAAAAAAAAATATTGTTATTGGATAAAAAGAAGGAAGTATAGATTTATATTAGTGAACAATATTTATTAGCTTATTAATATTAGCAATATTACCGTGTTTTTATATGAACTTTAGCTTATAGTATTTCTTAATAAAGTTTGGTTAGTTTACGTATTGGAGGAGAAATTTGTCGTTCGATCCAATTGCTAGTGTAGTTAGTATCGCTATTTCAACGAAAGATGTCGTCAGTGTATTTAAATCGAACGTTTCTTCAAATATTTTAAAACAAAGCGAAATTAAAAAAAATTAATATCAAATTCGTAGTATTTCTGGGATTCTATTTAATATCTTATTTTAATTAAAATTTTATGTAAAAAAGAAATTTAATTTTTATCTTTTTATATCTGCTAATTAATACTTTTCTATTTCTAGATGGCTATAGTATTTATATCTATTTCTCTGAAACCATAATTCTAAATTTCTTAATAATCAAGTAATGAAAAAGTAATTAATATGTTATAAAAAACACTAATATTATTTTTATATATTATAATTTTTTTATATTAATAAACTATACATTAAATATATTTTTGAATTTAAAAAAAAATCTATATTTTAAAATGCGAAATTTTGTTAAAAAAAATAATAAATCCGTATAATGTTATATTTATATAAAAAAAAATATATATATATATATATTTGATTATGAAAAATAATGAAAAACTGTTTATTAGGTATATTAAATAAGTTTAAATTATTAATGAATATAAAATAAAATATTAATGAATACAAATTATGATATTTATAATTTTTTTAAGAATTTTAATTCTCTTTTATTTATATAAAAGTTTATCTAATAATAAACATGAAGTTTTAGAAAAAAGATGTAATATATTATATTTTATTTCATTTATAAACAGTTAAACGATTTGATAATTTTATAAAATCCCGCGAAATATTAAGTAAGGGGAAGTAAAGCAATATGGCCGCCCAGTATCACAGCACTATGGCGACTTTCTTGTCAGTTTCCTAATTATTGCCTTTTTTTATATGTTTTACACGAATTTTTTAAGTCAGTGTATAGTAAATAGGTACAGTGTATGTCAGTTTACGATGTGAGGGTGGAAATTAGTTAATATTCAATTCGTCAGCATATATACGCAAGCAGTGGTGAGTGTTTTGCTATTCTGCACATAATCGTTTGTTCTGGCTTTCCATGGTCGCCCTCTAAACAAGAGGGATAATCAATTTGTTTACATCATGTATTGAATTGTTATATTCCAAATCATTGTTATAATCTGATACTTCGTCATATATGATCAAAGTTGAGATATAATGATACAAATTATATAAAATGTCTATAGGCAAGCATGCATCGCTTGACAGTTGAACGCGTTAGAACATACATATAACCTCTTGCATCTTAGAATGCTTCCATTTGTTCTTCATCTTCTTAATGTTCGTCGTTTACTTTTACTTTATTATTTTTTTGAATTTTTCTTTTTCAAATGTTTCTTGCGACATATTATATTTGCTATTTGTTATTCAATTATATTAACTTCGTATCTATATAATTTTATATTTTTCTTCGTTCGTCGAATGCTTCGAAACAAAAGTATTGATTTTGTAATATTCTTAAATAATCGTATTTCATTTTAAATATTTTGATAATTGCATTATATATTTAGCTAATATCATATTATTAGCAAATAGAATTCATAATAACAAATTTTATATTTTACATCTATTTGGCATTTTATTAGTAGATAAAATATATATAAAATCTATTATATATTTTTATATTTTATATGTATAAAAAAAAGTTGTAAATTTCATATATATATATATCATTTTAAAAACATATAAAATCTTAGTTCGTATAACATTCATTAAAAAAGTTGAAGAAAAATGTAAAAATCTATAATCTAATTTTCATTGGATAAAATGAAGACATCACAAAAATATTAATATTTTTTATATATTTAATCAAATATCATATCAATATTTTTGAGAGATTTTCTTTTAATTATGTTTAATTATGACATTTAACTTTTTTTATATTAATATGTTTTGATTTTGAATAATGCTTTGTTTTATTTCTTTTAATATTATTGTATAACTATCTATTCATATAGATATTATAAGTTATTCCAAATATATATAAATATTGGATGATACATATGAATAATAAATGTTGGATGATACATATTTTGCATGAGTTATTCTAAAATATTCAAATTATATTTAAATAAAAAATTATATAGAATTTATAAATTATTCTTTTAGAAGGTATAATCATCTGTGATATGTACTATATGTATATATGTTTATTTGTTTGTCTAATAATTTAATATAGAAGTACTATTTGTTATTTATATGTCCTGATATAAAATTTATTTCTATCTTTCCGTGATCCAATTTTGGCCAATATCCAATATAATATTATGATTAATTATTTGATGACAATTAATTCAATTTCTCTTTGTTTAAATCAATGAAAATAATCCCATCTATCAGAACTATGTTAATTGAACTTTTTTCATCACTAAAACATATTTTTTTCCACTTCTTTATTTAAGAAATATGACTAAATTTGAACCAAGTTATTTTATGGTATCGCATTAAAAAGATCGTTGTTTTAATCTTTCTTATTCAATATACTTATTTTTTTTTTTTATAAAATGCTCATATATAATTTTTTTGTATTTTTGTTTCTTCAATCTTGCAGTCTTTTTGTAATTCAAAATAACTTATAAAATTGCTTATTTGATAATATTCATGTATATGTAATTCAAAGTTTTTTAATTTTTTTATAGATTTCTACATTTTTAACATGTTTTATGTATATATATATATACACAAGATAATAATTTTTATTTTATTATTAGTATTGCAATTTTGTAAATACCTTTTTTTTGACTATCACAAATATAATTTTTTTAAAAATATTTTATGATATATCACATAATATAATATATTTTATTATATATTATAAATGAGAAAAAAATGATAATATGTAAGATGGGATGTAATTAATTCTAGATATAATTAAGACATTTTCATTATTTCTTTAATCTTATTAATTCATGGAAATAAATCTTTTTTTTTTATTTATTTTCAGATTAAGGTGAAATAGGACCAATACTGAAAAGGAATACAGGTGCGTATCGACAGTGCTATACCAGGGGGGAATGTGCCATTTAGATGTTAGTTGCAAATCATCATACGGTTAGTT